CATGTACATATATGTGTAAATATAAATAAATAGATATATATACATATGTGTATATACAGATATAAATATATATGTATGTGTGTGTGTATGTAAACACGCACACACACATATATGTATATATATATATACGCACACACACACATTGTGTATTTGTCAACCATTTTCTAAATTTCTGACGTTATATTTTGCCGAGGCAGATTATTTCATGTATTAGTGTGTAGTTTTTCCTTTAATCAGTGTCATTACATTTCCCTGTAAATGTACATAAAATATTACGCGTTGCACAATCAAGAATCAAGGCTGAAAAAGAATATATAGATACATAAATATATATATACATATGTACACACACAAATATATATATACACATATATTTATAGATATATATGTATGCATATATATGTTTGTGTGTGTATATGTATATATGTATGTATATATACATCATATTCTTCATACATCATACAAACACACACCTACACGCACACATATGTATAGTGAAACCCTCTACCGTGTTAATACTATGATAGAAAAACAGACAATGTTAAAAACAGATTTATTGAAAGTCAGACTACAGTTTCCAAATCCACATGGATTCCATCTTCAAGTTTGAAGAGAAAAGGGCGAGGAGGGGGGATAAAAGAGAGAGAGGAGAGTCAACGCGGTAACGCGGGGCAGGTGAGGACAGACGAACGGAAGCGAGGAAGAGTGAAGACTGGTGTGGGCAAGGTTGCGACAGAGAGTGTTAATGTGGCGAAAGATCAGCATGCAGTTGAGAGAGTGAAGAGGGCGACGGAGAGAGTAGATCTCCTCAGTATAGTGCAGGCTGAGGACGGGCAGGTGAGGAGTCTCTTTAGGAGAGGAATCGCGGTAGAAGGTACGCCGTGCTCTGGATAACGGGACGTCGAGAACGTGACGAGCCCAGTTTGGAGAACGAACGACGCAGGGTGTCGATCATCCAGCTACTGGGGGTCACAGATGCGGATGGCGCTGAGGAACAGCAAAGTGGCAACACCTCTTTTTACATGGAGAGGATGGTATGAGAAGAGGTGTTTATACATACCACTATGCATAGGCTTCCTGTATATGGAGAAGTGGTCAGAAGAACTATGTACTAGGGTGCCAATCTACCTCGAAACGGATGGAAGGAGAGAGGGAGGTCAGCTGGGTCAGGAAGTCCGAGAACAGGGCAGGGTCATGAGGCCAGAGAGCAAAGACGCCGTCGACGTACCTCAACCACACCGAAGGACGAAGGGAAATGGAAGGGGTGTTTCTGTATATACAAAGAGAGAGAGAGAGAGAGAGAGCGAAAGCGAGATAAAGATAGAAATAGGGATATAGATAGATAGAAAGATAAATAGATAGATAGACAGAGAGAGAGAGAGCGAAAGCGAGATAAAGATAGAAATAGGGATAGAGATAGATAGAAAGATAAATAGATAGATAGACAGATAGAGAAAAAGAGAGAGAGAGAGAGAAATAAAGAGAGTGAAAGAGTGGGAGAGCGAGTGATTGAGAGAGAGAGAAATAAAGAGAGTGAGAGAGAGAGCGGGGGGAGAGGGAGAGAGAAAGAGTTAGAGACCGAGAGAGTGTGAGAGAGAGATTGAAAAAGAGAGTAAGAAAGCGAGAAAGAGAGAGAGAGAGAGAAAATGAGACTGAGAAAGCGAGAGAGTGAGAAAGCGAGAAAGCGAGAGAGAGAGTGAAAAAGAGAGTGAGAGAGCGAGAGACTTATGTATATGTGTGTGTGTGAATATGTATATATATATATATATATATATATATATATATATATATATTTATATATTCATTTATCTATTTATTTATATATACACATAAATATATACATACATATACACATGTTCACCCATTCACATATATATATGTGTATATATATATATACATATATATATATATATATATATATATATATATATATATATATATATATATATATATGTATGTATATATGTATATATATGTAGTTATATACATGTATATGCACACACACATATATATGTACATATATATTTATGTGTGTGTGTGTGTATGTGTGTATGTGTGTGTGTATGTGTATGCTTATATATACGTTCACACACTCACACACACACACACACACACACACACACGTGTATATATATATATATATGTCTCTCGCTCTCTCTATATACATATATATACATATATATACATATGCACATATATATACATATATATATATATATATATATATATATATATATATATATATATATATATATATACACACACACATATGATACATATATACATATGATGCATATATATATATATATATATATATATATATATATATATATATATATATATATATATATATATATATATATATATACATATACATATATATATATATATATATATATATATATATATATATATATATATATATATATATATATATATATATATTATACATATATATATTTATATATACACACACACATATATATAAATATATATGACACACACACAAACACACACACACACACACACATATATATATGTATACATAGAGATAGAGAGAGAGAGAGAGAGCGAAAAGGAGATATAGATATAAGTATAGAGAAAGATAGATAGATAGATAGAGAGAGAGAGAGAGAGAGATAAAGAGAGAGAGAGAGAAATGAAGAGAGAGAGAGAGAGAGAGAGAAATAAAGATAGTGAGGGAGTGAGAGAGAGAAAGAGAGAGAGGGAAATAAAGAGAGTGAGAGTGACAGAGAGAGAGAGAGATAGAGAGAGAGAGAGAGAGAGAATGAAAAAGAGAGTGAGAAAGCAAGAGAGCGAGAGAGAAAAGGAGAGAGAGAGGGAGGGGGAGAGAGAGAGAGAGAGAGAGAAAGAGAGGTAGTCATTTGGGTTACATGGCGGAGATGTGAAGTGTAAAGATGTAACTGTGTAATAATTCTATCCAACGAGTTGATCCAGAGTACGTGGAATTTTTTTAGGCAACTTAAAAAGAAATGAAAATGTTTTCATTTATTGTTTGACAATGGAAGCAGATAAGGCATCACCATTATTGTTATTTTTGTTACCACTGTTGTTGCTATTATCATTGTAACCATAGTTTCAATAATGAAGTTAATATTTCTGTATCTGGAAGTGATAGCATCTTTATCATTACTGACCTTCTGCTGAATGTCAACTATGATGACAGTATTTTAAAAGTATTTAAAGTTCGTTCAACTTCTGCTTGATATCAAACCATTCGAGGTTTGTGATGAACGTAAGATTACTGGATAGAGCCTTCTAAACGAAATTATTGCCAGTGGGCCATGTATACTGATTGTTTTTTTATGCTTTTCCAGTGTTTCCCCTTTTTTCCAGTTTTTCCAGAAAAAAATGAATAGGTGTTCTGCCGTCGTTCCGTACCGCGCAAAGTCAGCCTCAGGGTTTCTCGGATCTGCGAAGGAATGAAAAGTATATCCAGTATATATACGAGGAAAAAAACGTACACATAGAGACACATAGAGACACACGAGTGGAAAAGGAGTAAATGACAGAGAGATGAATAGATAGATAGATATATGGACAAATGGATGTGTCTATTGTAAAAGGGAGACGAGGAGGGAGAAGGGAAGCAGGGGGGGGGGGCACTTGCTTGTGTCTTACCATATGTGGCATTGGAAATAACCAAGTGCTAGCACTAAAGCCGAAATATTTCCATAAGGGGCATTGTCGGTTTGTACTTTCATTGTCGTATTTATAGTTAATTGTGTGGTTTTAAAAATGCAAGTTGTATAAGGTGTTTACTTTCGCGAACAATTAAACCCAAAATTTGTTTTATATGTTGGGAATAAAAGCTCAATTTTGTAAAATTTATAGGAATAGCATCGAGATGCGGGCCGTTACAGAAGAAACTGCAGCTTTGCGAGCTGAGCTGTGCCCTCCTCATAGCTAGCCGGAAGTCTTCAGAGGTTGCCACAAATGTTAGGGAGTGAAATGTCCAGCTATCCTTCTGGCAACATTTAATCATTCTTGATTTTCAAACTTAGTGTTTATTGTTTATCATATTGAAAACTTTGTAATGTTTCTTTATTTAGACTTTTGTATTTTGTTGTCGCGCAACTAATACATACGCTGTGTCCTGCAATGACTCACACGCTCACAGAGCGATTAAGCTATTATGAGCATTGGTTATCTGTCAGTAATTACTGCAGAACTACACCTGATCTTAGCTTATCTAAAGTACCAGCCAAGAGACAGGGTCCGTGAGAGAAGTGTAGATGTGCAAGAGAGGTGGTCGAGTAAAATTAAAAGAGGGTGAGTGAGAGAAACGGGATGGGCGTGTGTGCATGAGATAAATGCACACAAAGATACAAAATAATGATGCATCTGTCTACAAACATTTGTCTCCCAAACTGGAATTCGGTAAAGCCCCATGGCTCTACAGTAAAATCAATGCAATGATAGTCTATAGTTATTCTTAAAAAATCACTCATATCATTTTTTTTTCTGATTTAGTTTTTGACTTGTACGTTGGATATTTCTGATCAGACTAGTTAAGATTATTAAGATTATAGTAATATTGGCTATGCAAGGTAATGCATAGTAGTCTGCACATTACATTGTGTTTTTCGTTAGAATGTTAAAAGGTTGCTGTATTAGCAGCAAGAATTAAAGACTGATTGTGGAACATGTTAGCTACAAGCAATGACTTGAGTCCTTTTCAAGACGGTAAACGATAGGGTAAAACACGAATAGATGGAGACCGACGACAGAGGAGTGGAACCTGTTAATACTAGTTTCGGCTTCAGGAATATGCCTCCTCCCTTCCCTTTCTCTCCCTTTCCTCTGCCTTATTGCCTTCTTACCCTTGCCACTCCATCCACCCCTATATTCAACTGGGCACAGCGACTACTGCACCAGCTATGGTCGGAGTACAAAACCATGCATGGTTATGTGTGTAGGTAGACTTCTGCTCGTCAGTGTACAAAACATACGAAAGTGTGCTACTTACCCAGTTCGGATTAGATTGCCACGCTTTCAAAGGTAAGTCGAAACCCATTAGTAACAACGCTGGAATCTGTATGGAAGACTATGGTCACGTCGTTGGTCGACGAGACAGTGAAGTTCGGAGTATTGGCACTGCAGAATCTAGGCCTGAGTTCAGAAGAAGGATTGGGTCTTAGACGTTGGAATCATAGCACAATTTTTCTTATTTTTCGCCACTCTATGCATCCATCTTTTTCCTTTTTTTCTCTCCACCCCAATGCTCCTACCTCTATTCATCTATCTATATATGTATGTACGTATCGATACATCTCCATTTTTCGATCTCAGTCATAACAAAGCCATATGCCTGCTTTACTCTCGATTGACAGTCTAACAGCATCTAGCTTTTTCTCTGTCTTCCCTCTAACTCTTCTCTCTATCTATCTCTATATCTGTCTTTTTCTCTCTCTGTCCATCTATCTACATTCTGGCAAACTCCACTGCAGCCAAGCCATCTCTGCCTTACCCATCCACAAAAATAGTGTCGTAGATTTGGAAGCTGTCATAAAGACAGTCATGTTGATACTCTAATTGAAACAGTAAGTAAGTGAACATGATGATGTAGCCCTCTGGAACCACGATCCGCATCTGGCAGTCATGATAGTTGTCATACTGGTTCGGGTAATTCGGGGAGACTATTTCACCCGCAGTTGCATTGGTGTAATCACACTGGCACACTGAGAACAAACAAAGGTAGGAAGGTTACATTCTGTTTCACCATTGCCTGAACAGACAAGGTAAGGGGTCATCCGTTTTTCATCATTTTATCAAGCGTGCAGACAGTACTCTTTTTCCAAGACCCCTCCCCCCCCCTACTCCTAGAGAAAGATAAAAGGATGACCTCTCCCACAGGATCTCCATCTTAATCCTGATCGTTATTCCTGTGATGTTTAAAACGCGTACGCCAGAGATTAACCCCCTCCCCCCAGTGTCGGGTTTGTACGCTCATGGAGAGGATGAAAAAGTGGATGATCCCTTAGCTGAGGCCTCATTAGCCTATTGGTTATCGAACTTGTCTAAGGATTGTCTGGACAGTTACGGAAGAATTGTGACCAAAATTTATGTATGTATGTATATATGTATATATATATATATATATATATATATATATATATATATATATATATATATATATGTAATATGTGTATATATATGTAATATATACATATATATATGTAATATGTGTATATATATGTAATATAGTACAAATATAGCACAAACTTTCGTAAATCTCTGCAGGAAAGCAGAAACGTAGAGGAGTTGCCGTAGTAGTTGAAGTAGTTGTGGTTGAAGTTGATGTTGTAGTTGACGGAGACTGTTGAAAAGGGAAAGACCGGTTATTGCCGTGTTCTTGGTTGATTACCGCTAATTTCACAATTTCTATGATACTTTCTATAATATTGGTTATGACACAGTTTTAGCAATAATTGCTCACTATCTATATGATCCTTCTCAGTACTACTGTTGCTGCTGTTCTTGTTATTGTCCCAACTGCCACCCAGCTATCTTCATATTGTCATTTATATCATTGTTTTTGCAGTTATCATTGCCATAATTATCACTGACGATAGTTATCATTGTTAACATAAATGTAATCATTTATAGTATAAACAGCATTACCATTACCGATTCGAATTACTCTTATCATTGTAATTATTGCTATTACTGTTATCATTAACGTTACTGTTATTATTACAGATATTATGTTTACCATTGTTATCATTATATCATGTTATCTATCCATGCATATATAAATATACAAAGATACATATATATATGTATATATATAGACAACCAACACATATAAGTGTATATGCGTGTATGTATATATATATGTATATATATAATCATGCTCATAAAGATGGCAATGTTACTGTTATCACTATTACGTTGATTGTGTTACTAATATTATTATATTAAGATAATATGATTACTATTAGTATAACCCCAATTATTTCCATCAGAATCAATAAAATTATTATCAAAAATATTACCACCATGTTATCGTTAACGGATTTATCTGTCTGGTATCACTATATTGTCGTTATCATTGCCATTAAGACTATAAATTCTGTTAAATTCAAGATTAATATTATCATTGCTCACTCTGCTAATGCATTATAACCAATATTTCCTGAACGAAGACTGACAAACCACTAACAGTATAGTGGACTAGGTACTCACACACACTGAAGTTACTGCCAAGCGAAAGCCTCGGCTGCGCTGCGTGTTGTCTGTCGAGAAGGTGAAGTCGAGGCTGCTGTCCAAGGAGGCCACAGGGGCAGGGTCCATGTGGCCGCAGGCGACGCCACTGGAAGGGAGGCGATGGTTTGGTGTACATGCCATGTGCGTTTCCCTTCATGCATCGATGTTAGATAATGCAAACATGCCACGGCACTGTCACACTGCATACGCAAATACACACACACACATCATAGGGGATATGTTAGAATATAGTTACAATAACCACCTTGCGTTTCCTCCGTCGATCCGCAGCGTGTCGAACATACACTTCTCAAGAGCTACGTCACAGAAATCTACGACGAGTTGACATCTTGAATCCGTTGAGACATTGAGGGCGCAAGAGAGGCCGTCAAAGTACGCAAAAGGGTATCTGGGGCTGTGCACGCTCAGGCAGCCGTCGGCGGGCACGGTGACGGATCCAAGCGGGCTACACACCGAGACTAAAAACGATAGTACGACTGTAGTTCCATGTTAGGTGACCTATGCGTTAACAGGTTCTTTTTATCACTCCTGTAGATGCATGCACGGGTAAGTGGGACATTCTATCAACAGGTTATATTGGCAATATCGTTATAAACAATACTACAATGCTGAATTACATATCTCAGAAGTCACTGATACGAGGTATAGCTTTAAACTTAGGTAATTTCTTAAAGGTACACACTGTAGGTGCGGTGGAAAGAGTATATTTACTTGTCAACTGAATAATTTTGATGAAGCTTGGATGAAAAGGGGCTGCGTCCCAGGAATAAATGAAAGGGTCTTTAATCACATCTTTAGTCACATTTGGGTTCCCTTGTTGTAAAAGGGATTCACCCAT